ACGTGTGCTCTTCCGATCTCCCCAAAACCCCAAAACCCCGAAATGCTGTATAAAGGGAATGAGAAGGATTAAATCAAATTTGCTAATATTAATTTATTTTTGGAAGCATTAAGTCATAAAACTAATATGATAGTTAGATTTAAATAAAATTTTAGTAGTATATAGTTGGGTCTTCGAAACTTACTTTAACATATTCTATGATAAAATACAATCACATGAAGATAAGAAGTACTTAATTCTTACTTCTACTTGGACTTTACTTTATCAGTTAGTCTCAGATTTTCGCTTAGGCTTAGAATAAAAGGTAAAGTCCTAATTAAAATAAACAAGAGATGCATTAAATTAGAGACAACTTAGCTTAAGATGAGAGGAAGTTGTTCACATATATAACTGACTCCTTGACATGCGTTAATTCTTGCTCATCAATAACTTAAAACTTCTGTGCTCTCTCTAATACAAATGGATATTGCTGTACCACTGCTGAAAATTGTCCCAGAACTGCTGGATAGTATTGTTCATAAGATAGTAAAACAGTGTCAACTATCTCAACAAGATGGGTGTGTCCACAAAGTACCTATTGTTCAATTCAAGATCCCTCCCTAAGTGTAAAATTAGATGGATCAACTATGATTCTTAACTAGACTACTGGTATACCCTTTCAAAATGTCTGCAAATATCTACTTGAGTTTCCAACTAAATATAAATACTCTACTGGTAGTTCTATTACTATAACAATGAGATCATCAAGATCTGCAGCATTCGGGTATGTGATTGCTAATGATTTTAATGGAACTAGTGTCTAAACTTCTTATTTGAATGTAAATGCTAGTTTGTCAATCGTATATCCTTAGAAATTGTATTTTTATGCTTACAGCGTACTTGGAGTAACAATCACTCTTCCTTTTTCATTTGAATACAGATTTATAGGCCAAGCTACTTCTACAGAAACCACAACCACTACTACTGCACCTCCAACATAAGAGCCCACTTAATAGCCTACTCCTTCACCTATTGATTAATCAGGAGGGAAAGTAAGTAACTCCACAGTTAAAAAAGATGATGATGAAAAAACTAAAACCATAATCATTGCTGTTGTAGTTCCAGTAGCCATCATTCTGATTATTGTGGTTGTTATAATACTAGTTTGCTGCACGAAAGATAACGAAAAGAAAGATAAAAGAACAAGAAGTTTTTCTACTAGAATTGCTAATGATAGTGAAGAGAGCACATTAAAGAAGTTTAATGATTAATCAGGAATAGTATATCATAATGAGACAACTAAGGGAGACAATTCATTGAAATAGTAAGATGAGTCAAAAAAGAAAAAAGCCAAAAAAACAGAAAATGGTCCAGATTATGAAACCCATGATAAATAATCTAAGGAATCTGTGACTTACATTTACAGACCGGAAAATGAGATTGATCCTATCTTATTACTAACCAATCAATAAGACCCTTAGCCTGTCAATAAACTTAAGGAGAAATTCCACACTGCTTTTGTAAAGAAAATTTTGGATTAAACAGATTAAAAGAAAAAGAATATTAGATAGGAGGAAGATAACAAATTTGACTCCATTCCAAGACATCTTGACCCTGATTATCTAATGAAGGTATATGAATCACAGCAGAATTTGATAGATTTTGATAGAATTTAACCTTAACAATAGAGCTAGGCTATTCACTTTATCTTATAGACACCCTATTTACCTAAGCCAATGAACCCAGACTAAAACATGGATAAATAATAGGATATAACTTATCCAGATATCACAGTTGGAAACAATATTTTTGAGGATACCAAATAAACCTTGAAAGGATTTCTACCTATTTAAGAAGAATAATAAAATCAAGAAATGCCAGTATAATATATTGGATTGATAGAGAGTAGTAGATAAAAGGCTTAATTAGAGTCAATCAAGGATATTTAATCTAGAGAATAAATGCATAATGAGCCTGATATTAATTTCAAATTATCAGCAAGTTTTACAAAATAAGAAGATATACAATTAGGATAGAGCTACGATGTTCTCACTCCATCACAAATAGATTAAAAAGAAAACATGCAAATTTTTGATAAATAAAAGCAAGAAGCATTTAGAGAACCTTCGTAATTGAAAACGCATAATGATTTCCAACCTGAAAAAGAAATATAGATATTTCCTTCGAATCATATTGAAGATCTTGAGAGCCAGAGTAAGGCTATTTTTTGGGAGGAATAGTAGCACTAAAATCATATTGATGTGAGTTTTAATTAGGTTTAGAATATTGAAGAAAGTAAAGTATTGGAACCTCAAGTTCTTGTTAATTCTTCTATAGAGGAATTTAAAGAAGAATCAAATAATAGCAGTTAGGTAATAGTGAACAATTAACCACAGCAATAACCTTAAGTGGAATTCTTGAGCATAGGAAACACTAATAGCACTAAGAAATAGAAAAAGAAGAAAAAGACTTTGAAACCAAGTGTTCAAGCTTCACTTTAGGCTACAACATTAAAAGATTTTAAAAATAAAGAGGGAAATTTTCTAGACACTAATACTAGAAATTTAGAAACTGCTTCTTATGCTACTGCCAAGAATTTAAATTTTTCACTGGAGAATAAAGCTCTTGATAAATCTATAAGAGACGATATGAGTGAGCAGGCTTCAAATATAATGATGCTTTTGAATAAGGAAGGCTAGGGCAGCTAAGTTGACTCTGATCCAAATCTGTTAGATAAGTTCGACATCAATGATTCAAATCACACTTAGGGTAGCTTCATCAATAAAAATTAAGAAAAGATTGAGATGGATATAAATAAATTGAAGTTTTAAGATATAATATCAACAAGTATCAGAGATGAAATAAAAGCTAAGCAAGCTTAAAAAATTATGGATCAAGAGGAACATGTTGATAGGAATGCCATAAACAAATCTTACTAAAATTAAAAGAGAGATGATAGTTCAATTATTAATTAGAGCAATAACTCAAGAGGCATGAATAGAACAAAGATAGTTTATGTGAACGAAGAAGGTCACACAAGCATTGATCCTGTTTACTAAAAGAGATAAACCCTCAAATCAGAAAAAGATAACTCTATGTTGAATTCTAAAAATTCTAACAAAAATGAGAAGAAAAAAGGATTATAATAGATTTTGAATAAACTTGATTCATAGGATATATCGGTTTCACACAAATCTCTAATTATTGACTAACAATTTGAAAATTAATCAGTAAACTAGACTCAAAACATTCATTATGATGAAGATCTACACAACCAACTGAATCAGTAAGATGATGAGTTTATTCAGTCTCCTCCACATGAGATAAGTGACTTGTTTTAGAAATAAGATTAAAAAATATAAAGCTAGAGCAGGGTTGAAGACATACAAGATGAAATTGTAGAAAACTATGAGTGAGAAAAAAACTTAAAATAATTAACTCAAGTAATTATTTTGAAGATTATTTAAATGCTTTGAATATTCTCTTTAGTTATTTAAATTGATAAAAAATAGAGCCTATATTTTTATTTCATTATTTTTTTTATACTTAATTTTTCAAAGCGGGGTTTTGGGGTTTTGGGG